CACACACCAGCGGGAAAGAGGGGAGAGACGCGGGGTGGCACCCAAGGTCCCAGTGGCGCAGTCCGCAAGCGGTTCCCCCACACACTATAACGCTTCGTGGCCCCATACGGAGCTCCACCGAAAGTCCCAGTGGCGCAGTCCGCATGCGGTCCCTGCGCCCAGTACAGCGCTTCCTGGCCCAAAGGGAGCTCCACCGAAGGTTCCAATGGCGCAGTCCGCATGCGGTTCCTGCACCCAGAGCAGCGCTTCGTGGCCCCAGAGGGAGCTCCACCGAAGGTCCCAGTGGCACAGTCCGCATGCGGTTCCTGCCCCCCGAGCAGCGCGTCGTGGCCAAAGGGGGAGCTTCACCGAAGGTCCCAGTGGCGCAGTCCGCAAGCGGTTCCTGCGCCCAGTACAGCGCTTCGTGGCCCTAGAGGGAGTTCCACCGAAGGTCCCACTGGCGCAGTCCGCAAGCGGTTCCCCCACCCAGTATAGCGCTCCGTGGCCCCATAGGGGACTCCACCGAAGGTCCCAACGGCGCAGTCCGCATGCAGTCCCTGCGCCCAATACAGCGCTTCGTGGCCCCAGACGGAACTCCACCGAAAGTCCCCATGGCGCAGTTCGCATGCGGTTCCTGCCCCCAGAGCAGCGCTTCGTTGACACAGAGGGAACTCCACCAAAGGTCCCAGTGGCGCAGTCCGCATGCCGGCTCCTGAGCGCTACGTGGCCCCAAAGGGAGCTCCACCGAGGGTCCCAGTGGCACAGTCCGCATGCGGTTCCTGCCCCCCGTACAGCGCTTCGTGGCCAGGGGGAGTTCCACCGAAGGTCCCAGTGGCGCAGTCCGCATGCGGTTCCTGCGCCCAGAATAGCGCTGCGTGGCCTCAGAAGGAGCTCCACCGAAGGTCCCATTGGCGCACTCCGCACGCGGTTCCCCCAACCAGTATAACGTCTCGTGGCCCCATAAGGGGGCGCCACCGAAGGTCTCAGCGGTGGAACTCGCATGCGGTTCCTGCGCCCAGTACAACGCTTCGTGGCCCCAGATGGAGCTCCACGGAAGGCGATACCCACGACTGCGGCACTCACAACTGCATGTGGTTGGCTTTTTTCGAAGAGGCTAATTTTGAACGCCCCCCCTCCCCCCTTGAGGCCGAGTTAGGGTTGTGTCTTTCCCTTTAAACCCGCCAAAACCATCAGGAAGGTACTATGGGAAGGTGAGTGAGGGCTTCTCCCCAGCACCTGTCCCTGAAATCCCCTGTGGGAAGGGCTAGGAAGGTTTTCCCCCACGACCCCCACAAGAATTGCTTTCGGAGGGAAGTTATCGGCGAGGTTAACAAGGCGTTTCCTGTCGGACGCCCCCGAACCCCCCTCAAGACGGGTCTTCGGAGCGTTAAGGGGTTCTTTCCCCCAGACCCACCCAAAACCCCTTCAGGGCAGGGCTTGTCTTTTGAAAGGCAAGGGAAAGGTCCCCCGAGAACCCCGTCTGCAACAGCGTTTCCCCCATCGGACCTCTCCAAACAAAAACCCCCCTTGAGGGAGGGGGGGGCGGGAAGTTTCTCCCGCCCCCCCCCCTAAAAAAAACCTGGGAGGGCTCGGGCGGGGTAGGGAGGTCCCCCGCCCAGACCCCCCCAAAGAATCACCCTCAGTGTTTTGCGAAATGTCCCCCTCTCGTCCGAATCCCTCTCTAAAGCCCCTGAGGGGGGGCTACGGAAGTTCCCCCCCCCAGGTCCCCGAAATCCTCCCTTTGGAAGAATGTTCTGAGGGTTCGGAGACGCCCCCCATCCGCACCCCCACAAGGGGTGAGGAGGTTTTCCCCCCTGGGCCCCCCAAAAAATACCTGAGAGGGGAGGCTGGGGGGGGTCTGGGGGATGCCCCTCGCACCTCCCCCATGAAACCTGTTGAGGCAGGGCAAAAAAAAAACCCTCAAAGGAGGTGTCGGCGGCGTTCGGGAGGGCTCCTGGGCCCCCCCAAAACCCACCTCAGGGGGATGCAGGGTTGGGACGTCACCCACCCACCCACCCCCGGAACACCCCAAAAACTCCTTTTATGAAGGGGAAGGATTTGGGGAAGGCTCGTCCCCCGTTCACGTCGAACCCCCCCCCCGACATTGCACTCGAGGCCGGGTCAAAAATGCGTTCCCCCCGGAACCTCCCGAAAACCCTCCCGGGGGAAGTTTTTGGTACGGCGGCGGGACGGGCCCCTGCCGAACCCCCCTGAAACCCCGTCTGAGGGGACGGTTGAGTGGGCCCCCCCCTCCCTCGAGGGAAGGGTCGGGGTCGGGGGCCCTCCCACACACCCCCAACACCAAAAACACACACACACACACACCAAAAAAAAAACTCAGGGAAGGAGCTGGGGGGGGAAGGAGGCGAATCCCCCCCCCGGACCCCCCCGAAAACAAACCTCAAGGAGGTTTTGCGGCCCCCTCCCTTCCGCGGCCCTTTTTAATCTCCCGGAAGAGGTTACGCAGGTCCTCTTTGTTTTGGAGGTTCATGCGGTTCCCCCCCCCTGGCCCTCCCAGACACCCCACCCAGAGAGGGCCCGCACCGCCCCCCCACTACAATCAAGGGGGGGTGGGAGGGGCATTTTGGCACGCGGGCGCGCGAAACGGGCCGAACGCCGGGCTGGCTGGGGCAGGCTACGCCACCAGCTGCGGAAAACAAGCAACGAGCCACGCCAGGCGCGGGGCGGAACTCCAGTGGCCAAAATGGCGCGACGGCGACGTAGGGCACCAGGAACGCGAGGAAGGTGCCGAGGGAGAAAGCAAAGCAAGTGCACTCGATGGCGGCGAAAGATGACCCGAGCGCCACACTCACCCAGGAAGGCGGCGAAGAAGGTGGGAAATCCAGTTCCCCAGGCGAACTTGCTGAGCACGCGGTCCTCGCACAAAAAGGATGACGATGCCGAGAGGAAAGCGACCTGCAGGCCCCGCGTGGGCGAGTGACCACGTCCACGTACAAGAGGACCAGGAAGACACCACGACCTCCAGGCTGCGGCCACACCAGGACCTCCCCAAGGGAGTGCGAGGGCACCCGACGGCAAGGGCGGTGTAGACCGTCACGGAGAATGCGACCTCCAGGTACCGCGGAAACTGCAACCACCTTCGCGCAGATGCGGGCCGCGCGGAAGACCCAGAAAGCGGACGGGCTGCGGTCGCCTCCTGGACCTCCTCGAGGAGCCAGGGCCCCCCAGTGCAGGGGCAGTGTGGACCTTCACGAAGATAACCAAAAATTCCCAAGGCAGGGCAGCACGATAGCGGCGGCCAAGTGACGGAACCAGCCACGAGGGCGCCCCGCGCGCCGAGACCTGGAGGCAGTCGAGTGACCGGCACGGCGAAGCCGTGCAAGAGGGTGCGGAGCGCCACCACGGCGGGTACCCGCGCGGGAGGCGGCGGGCGGCCAGCGGCACAGCGGCCGGCGGGCCGCAACGAGCTTCGCCAGGGAGACCGTGCCGCCGACGCCTCAAGCGGATGAGGGGGTCCCTGGCGGGATCAGCAGCAAGGCCACGCCGAACTCCACACGAAGTGGAGGGGCAGGAGGGCGCCGTCGGCGCCAGCACTCCGGCAGCGCGACGGGCGCCAGCCGCGGGACCCAGCGGCAGCTGGGCAGTTCAGAAGAGGGCGTCAACCCGGTGGCGACCAGGGGATCGACACCAGGGCTCACTGACCGCCGCCCCAGCGAGCATCCGGGCGGACGTCTACCCCCCCAGCCACGGGGGGCCTGCAGCGATACGCGCCAACCCCAGGCGCGGATGCGAGGCGGGACTTCGAGGGGTACCTGCCAGACGATTCCCCAGTCGGAGGCGCAGGACCAGGCGGCTGATCGCCGCAGAGGCAGGGAACGAGGAGGAATGGGAGCGGCAGCTGCTCGCTGCAAGTGCATAGTGGAAGGATGCAGTGGTTACCCCAGGCAGAGGCGTCAAGGATTCGGATCGGCAAGAGGTTAGATCTGCGTGCGGGGGCGCCCTGCAGGCACCCCTCGATGCGCGTGGGAGAGAGGCGGCGGCCGGGCGGCCCGGGGCACCCGAGGGCAGCGACGAGTGGCAGCGAGGCAGCGCCCCGATCGGCGCAGAGAGGGCACGCGCCCACCAGTGAGGGGCAACGACAGGGGGGGATAGGAACAGGGGGGGTCATCGACCTCGAATGGCCGATGCATCGCCCAGGTATCGTCGATATACCGTCCATGCAGGCCGCCCCGTGTATCGTCTGCAGACGTCGTCAGCACATCGCCCTGATGTCAAGGATGCGTCGTCGATGTATCGTCTGTGTCAACCATTCGAGGTCGATGCATCCCCTACCATGCCCATCCCCTCCTACCGTTGCCCCCGAACTCGAAAGCGGCCACGAGGGCAGCGTCCAAGAGGGGGGCGTAAATCATGGCCAGCGGCATGTGCGCGGCTCAGGGGGGGGCGGGGACGTATTGAAATAGGAAGAGGCGCCATGAAATCTGGGGATCCATCATGGCCCCCGCCAGGATATCCACCACCCCCTAGTCATCACCCGCCTCTCGGCCGCCCCCGATCGGGCGGCACCCCCAGAAGAGTCACACCGGTCGCGCACGCGGCAGTACTCGGACGAAGGAGAGGTCTCGTCTGGGGCTGCGCGGGTGGGGGAGCAGGCGGGAGCCAGGAGGAAGATGCGGGAGGAGGCAGTGGGGGGGTGCGGGAGAGGAGAGGAAAGACGTCCACGAGTGCTCCATTCAAGACGGGGGGCCCGTCAAGGAGGAGGAGGGGGAGAGCGACGACGACGACGAGCGCGAGGAGCGGCAGCATCACGGGCAGCACGAGCAGCAGCGACAGCACAGGCGGGGGCACCAAGCGGAGTCTTCGTGGGGTCCTGTCCGCCACCGAGAGAAAGGGAGCGGGCGGACGAAGAGAGGTCTGGTGGCAGCAGCGTGAGCGGCAGCGGCGAGGTCTGACGGCTGCCACTGATCTCCGTCTTCGGCGACGACGAATGACGCGCCGTGACGGGCCCGAGCGAGAGCAGAGCAGGCAGGATGTGGCGAGCACGGGGTCGGCAAGCGGTCCAGCCATGAAAGTAGATCAGGGTCTTTTTCTTGGGGTCGTAGTACTGCGACCTTCGGTCACACCCTCAACCCGCAAGCGATCACGCGCCCACGCAGCCGCACGAGGCAGCACACAAGAAAAAATGAGCGGCACGAGCTCAACGACAACGGTCAACCAGCAGAAGGGACATTGATGGATGGCGACGAAGGCAGAGAAGCAAGTCCATACGCAAAAACTTGTATTCCACTGAATGGGAAGGTACCCAGGACACTTGACAGAAGCAATGAAATCTTCCAACATGGAGCAGGTCTTTCACGGAGCTGGGATCTGTCTCACTTCTCATACAACAACACTCATATAATGTTGACGGAGGCGCCTGGCCGACGCTGGTGCCAGTGTGCCCTACACCTGCTGAACCTTGGTAAAGCGTGTCGCGTGTCGCTGTGCGCATGCAGCGACACGCGGCCTTGATCCAGCAGCATCAGCCGCTCTTCCAAACCAGCCAACGTTAAGCTACGATTGTGTCAACAATCATAGTTCAACCACACAGTGTCCGATTTCACACAGAAAGGATGGACGGTGTTTTTCTCGCAATCGACCGTATCCTCCGACCGAAACGCAACAGGCAGTTGACACGCCTACCTTCGCACACCGCCAAAGAATTGCTGTGATATGCTCCTGCTCCTCGTTTGAACTCCAACTACATCATACACTATGAGATACGTACACACGCATGTTCATATCCGCGGTCTTCACCCGACGGTGGCGTTCGAAAAGAAAGGCTAATTAAGAAGAAACCCCGCGCGCCAGGGCCCCCGTCCACACGCACGCACACACACACACACACACACACACGCACACACACACACACACACACACACACACACACACACACACACACACACACACACACACACACACACACACACGCACACACACGCACACACACACACCACACACACACACACACACACACACAACACACGCGCGCACACACGCACACACGCACCAACGCACACACCAAACACACACACACACACACACACACACACACACACACACGCACACACGCACACACACACACACAGACACACGCACGGACGCACACACGCACACACACACACACACACACACACACACACACACACACACACACACACACGCACACACACACACACAAACACGCACACACACACACACACACCAAACACACATACACACACACACACATGCACAAGCACACACGCACATACGCACACACGCACACACGCACACGCACACACACGCACACACACACACACACACGCGCACACACACACACGCAAACACAAATGCACATACGCACGCCCCACACACACACTCACACACACACACACACACATGCACACACACACACACACGCACCCACACAAACCCACTGGCCTATTGTGTCTACGCACCGTAGGTTTCTGCTGCCTCCGCGGTGAAGAATGTCGAGCACGTCCAACGGAAACCAACGGAGGCACGCGATAATCCAGGTGAAGGCCTACGGAGTCCTAAGGATACAGAACCCTGAGCAAGCCCGAACAAATCTCCAGACCTACTTCAAGAGTGCCACGAAATCTTTGAATCAGTACGAGGCTCGCCCCAGGGATCCTGAGGTCCTGAGGGATCGGGTCGTTGCCCTAAGACATCACAAGTGTCTGTCTCACTGGCACACGGGACCCCAGAAGCTATCACCATGTGCACTGCATACGTACCACGCGCGAAACGATACCTCTGTGTCCGCCGCCGTGCCGCAGGCGCTGAGTGGAGTGTCCGCGGGTCCTTTCGAGCTTTATGCGCCAGTTATTGAAAACACTTCCTCTACAAGCGCGTGCGCGCGTGTCTGCCAGCGGAGTGTCGTCGCCCAGTCAGGAGGGGCACCCCAAGCGACCCGGATTCGCGGTACTGGCCGAGGGCCACTACAATACTTTCTCTACGAGGTCCAGAGCCCCGAATTGTGGGCTCGCGGGCGCTACCCGGGCGCTCCCGGGTGCCATCGGGTCGGCTCGAATCCCATGTGTGGACTGGCCAGGAACCCCAAGCCTGCCCGAGGAGTCCCAGAGAAGGCCCCAGGACGGTCCAAAGTGGGACCCGAGACGCCTGGAGTGGACGGCGCAGGCGGCCTCCAAGACGTCTCAAGAGCTCCAAGAGGACTCCCTACAGGGTTTGTAGAAAGGAAAAACAACATTCATTTGCCCATAGTTTTGAAAAATGGTCGCGTTCTCGCATCACCGAGCCTCAGGATGCCCACGACGGCCCAGGAGACCCCCCAGAGGCCTCCAAGGCGGCCCCCAAGAGGGCCTCGAGAGAGGCCAGACGGAGGGAACCCAAACTGACATTTGGAGCCCTTCCACCCAGTATGGCCCCGAAACGGCCAGCAGGCCCCCAAGACGCACCCAAGAAGCCCCCAGTCCTAAACGGCCCCAAAGACGCCCCCAGGGATGCATCCAAGAGGCCCCCGAGAGGCATTACCAGACCCCGAGAGGCATCCAAGACGCCCCTGCCCCGCGACCCAGCCACAGTGGCGCAATGAGCCGAAGGCCACTAGATCCGCTGTCCCCATTGCCTGCGAAGGGGTGCAGGGCGTGCTGTGACTCTCTGGGCCATTCAACAGATTCCCAGGGGGGTCTCCGCCGACAACCTCGACGGTTCCTAAAAACCGACAGGTCAAGAGAAGTCGCCGGCAAGACTGCCAAGATGGCCCACGATGGCCCAAGGTGGTTCCCAAGACGGTCCACCTCCAAGATGTCCAATAAGGCTCCACGAGTGCCCAAGATGACCCCAGGATCACAAGACGGCCCAAGGGAGACCCAACATTGCCCAAAATGCCTCAAATGACCCAGAATGCTGCAAATACGGACCGGAAGACTCCAAGAGGCCCTCCAGAAGCGCCCGAAGAAGCCAATGTCATTGATGGCCTGGGCTGTTGCAGGATTGTCGCCTTCTCGCCCGTTCAAGCTTCCGACGGCCCGCGACGGCCCAGGGGGCCTCCAAGATCACCCAAACACAGCCCCAGAAGCTCCTAAGCTAAGAGTGCCCCGAGACCGGCCAAGAGGGCCCCAAGATGGCCCAAGAGGGCCCCAAGACGGCCTCAAGACGAACCCAGAGACCTCCGCGTCAACCAGAAGCCGTCCCAACAGGGCCCCAAGACGGCCCGTTAAGGCCGCCAAGACGGCCTCCGAAGACCATGCGGCGCCCCACGTAGCCCCTCCCCCCCCCTCCCCCCCGTGAGGCCCCCGAAAAGCCCCATGAGGTGCCCACGAGGTCTTCAGAGGCCCGCAAGAGTCCCCAAGGAAGCCCTCGGGAGGCCCCAAGGGCCAAGGGGCCTCCTCCTCCTCCTCCTTCAACCCTCAGTCCTCAGTCCTCCTCCCTCTTCCTCCCTCCTCATCCCTCCTGCTCTCTCCTGCTCCCTCCTCCCGCCTCCTCCTCCTCATCCTCATCCTCCTCCTCCTTCTCATCCTCCTCCCCCTCCTCCTCCTCCTCCTCCTCTTCCTCCTCCTCCTCTTCCTCCAACTCCTCCTCCTCCTCCTCCTTCTCCTCCTCCTCCATCTCCTCCGCCTCCTCCTCCTTCGCCTCCTCCTCCACTTCCTCATCCGTATGTGTTGTTATCTCTGTGTAAATATATATACACATGTACACATATAGCTATAGATAAAAGTATGCCTCCCTCTCTTCGTCGTACATGTGTCTACATGCATGTATGTATGTATGTAGTTATGTATGTGGTTATGTATGGATGGATGGATGGATGGATGGATGGATGGATGGATGGATGGATGGATGGATGGATGGATGGATGGATGGATGGATGGATGTAATGTGTGTATGTATGCATGTATGTATACATGTATGGATCAATGGATGGATGGATGGATGGATGAATGGATGTGTGTAAGTATGTATATGTGTACGCGTGCATGTATGTATGTGTATGTATGCATGCGTGTATGTGTATATGTAGTTATGTCTGTCTGTATGGACGGACGAATTGATGGATGGATGGATGGATGGATGATGTATGGATGTATGGATGTATGGATGTGTGTAGGTATGTTTGTATGTGTCTGTGTGTATGTGTATGTGTATGTATGTACGCATGTACGCATGTGTATGGATGGTTACAGGTTTGTGTGCATGTGTGTAAGTATGGATGTATGTATGTAGGTATGTGTATATGTATGTATGTATGACTGTATGGATGTGTGTATGTATGGATGTGCATGTATGTATGTGTGCATGTGTGTATGTGTGTCAGAATATGTATATATAGATATATATATATATATACATGTGCGCATGTGTATATGTATATGTATCTGTATATGTATATGTATATGTTTATGTATATGTATGTGTATATGGATATGTGTATGTGTATGTATATGTATGTGTAGATGTATGTCTATATATTGGTGTAAGTGCATGTGTGTATAGATGTGTGTACAACTACATGCATACATGCATGCATGAATGGATGAATGAATGGACGCATGTATGTATGTATGTATGTATGTATGTATGTACGTATGCGTGTGGGTATGTATGAATGTATGTATGTATGCATGTGTATGTATGTATGTACGTATGTACTAACATACGTGCGTACGTACGTGTATGTGTGTATGTATGTGGTTATGGATGTGTTGATTTATCTCCGACCCTGCCTCTCTCACCATGCAAAAATACCGAACAGTATGTGTATACGTGTTTATATTAATGTTGTGCGCGCATGCAAATACATATATATATATATGTGTATATATAATCTAAAACATGATATTTGTATACACCTTCCTCCCGCAAGTGCTCCCCCAAGAGTTTCCACAACGGTTTAAGGAAACCATAGTCCCATGGGTAGGCAAGACCTCGGCCCAACGTGTGGCCACATACATAGGCATGTCGATCAGAGTTTGGCCGCATACTTCCGCAGGGCGCGGGGACGGTTCGCCGTAGGCGTCTTCGATAAGAGTGCGCGATCAAAATTGGTGCGGGAGCGTTGTAAACGCATGATGCCGTGCGCATTGACTGACACACATGTTTGCGTGTATTTCGAGTATGCACGCATAGAAAAAACGGTGATGGTCGATGTATGGACCATGTACAGCTATCGGTGCGACCATCCTACATCACGTGCAGGTGAATCGCGCAACCATATCACGCAGCGAACCAAGTTTTCGAACAGCTGGGAGCAGGAGCATTCATGAACAGTAATGCCCATTCACCATTCTAGACTGTCTGCCATGAGGCCCAGGATCGTGAGTCTCACACACTGCGAACTCTAAGCGCGAAGCCATAGAGCCAACAAATAGCTGACGCAGAATGTTGACACACAATGCTAGCACACGGCGCTGACAACCCACAACGCAAACACGCATACGCATGTTACTTTCACAACCGTCGCGGCGACGACAAACAGCAATTTTGGGACTGCCAAAACAGAGGAGAGACACCGGGCAAGGCCGACTTCTGCCCAGGCACCGCCTTCTCGGACTTGTCCCCGGGCCCAAACCTGGGGAATGCCCGAAGGCTCCGGGTCGTTGGGTCGCAGGGCATCCCTTTACCCTGTTTCTTCATCCCTCCTTCCCCATTCTGCCCCCCTTTTGCCTCTCCCGTTTCCTCGTTCCGAGAGCCCCAAGAAGAGCCCCAGTCGGACGCAGGTATCCTTGGACACCTGCCTTTGGGGTGCACGCCAGACCAGGTGATGCTGCTGGTTCGCTCGCCAGGACTGCTGCCTCATCTCACACTGACTTTCCTATCGAGCACCTGGTCTTTATTGTCACAACCGTAGGGCGAGTCCGCGTGAATGCTAAGGACAAGATGTTTGGACTCCAAACACGGATACAATGAAAATTCGCACGATGCCCAACATGCGTACGAAGAAAAGGTTGCACACAACTGGCAGCGGCCGCTGTAGAGCAGACGACGTTTCATTTCGAATGGACAACATCCGCGGAGACACCAACAGCGAATCCTGTCAAAATGGACAGGCACTGATGTCGATCTTCGTCCTAATTCTGTCCGTACCTATTTTGATCGTGCCGAGCTGTTGGCGGGATACTGGCAAAGCATTGGGATGACTACGGCTTCCCCATAAATCCCCATGAACCTATGTGCCGCTACTGTGCCAGCTGCTCCTTGCTGCACGCTGCTGGGTGACGACGGCCACCTCCTGGTTGCTTCTGACAGCTGACCGCTTCCTGATGGCTCACTGCTGACCACTGCATGCTGCATGCTGCCTACTCGCTGATGGACATGACTTGCCCACCGCTGTTTCCTGCGCCGCTGTTCCGCGTCGCCCTTCGCTGCCTCTCCTCATTCAATTCCTCATCGTCCAAGTAGGGGCGCGCACATCACGTCTGACGTCGTTCCCACCTGGCCCATTCATGTCCGCTGTGCCCATCGCGTTCGGCTCGCCGAGTCGTGCACACAAGTCTGAAAAGTGATACAGAGTTCGCGGATACTACCTGCAATCATCGAGCCCGTCGTCCCTCTCAGAATCGGCAAAGGCCAGACGAGCATAGATGCACGCGCAAAGGTCGCGCAACGCTTGATCGGGGACGTCGTCGGGCGGCCCAGGGACGCAAGAGAAAACATAAGCAGGCCTTTACCAAATAAGGAACACGAAGAGGAAGGGGAAGATGAAGAGTAGCGAGGAGAGAGGGGAGAAGGGAAATTCGGGCGACCGAGAAGACTGGGGCACCTAGCACATCGCAGATCGGACTGCTCCCTTGTCTTCTGGCCAGCGTCGACGAGCCGACCATCCACTTGGGAGAGGCCCCCAAGATGCACCAAACAGCATCTGAGAGCCCTCCAGGAAGTCCAAGAGGCCACACGTGAACTCCTGGATATCCCCTGATGGTCCCCTCAGATGCTCCCTTAAACACGCCAAGGGCTAAACATATAGGCGTCTCTCTGTGCTCCATAGTCCTTCCCCTCTCGGGTAATCAGACCCTGATGGTGACGTCGGATCAGGCCTCCTACAAGACCGCAACTTGACTATATGAGGCGGCTCCATCGACTGATCGTTCGTCGCTTCGCGCTTACATATATGACATGGGCTGGCGGGAATGAGCGAAGCAACGAAATCATAAGGCATGCTAGGATGATTGCAAGGGCGTGGCTCGAACCTTCCAAGACACATGTCGCACTACCAAATAGCATCATCGCAGCAGCGTGCCAGGCGAATCCAGCTCAAGCCGAATACCATTGCACACAGAGGAACCAATAGATACCCCAATCAAGTTGTGCAGGCCAGCCAGTGGAATACTGCTGGAGCACGTCCTTCGTGCAGTACCTCCAGGCTGTTCATACACAGAGACTGTGAATGCGCTATGCGGTATCATAACTAATCATCAAGAAACGACATCCACACTGCATGCCCACCAATCCAACAATCAAGTGCGACGATAGTCACTGCGATCCCCGCCAATACCTCCATCGACAATGTCTGCCAGCGCGGATACTCTCATTCCTACGTACTCACTCTCATTATCCTCTCAGTGCTATGCCTCCTCATCCCACTACTCCCACGATCCTTCTACAGCATCCTCATTCCTTTTCATGTTCCTCCTCCTCCTCCAACTCCTCATCAGCAGCAGCAGCATCATCATCAGCAGCAGCATCATCATCCATACCACCAGAATACCATAATCAGCATCATGATCGTCATTCGCAGCATCATACACTTATTCACATGCTCCTCCAATCATCCTCGCATCTTCCTCCCCCTCCTCCTCCTCCTCATCCTCCTCCTCATCCTCCTACTCCTTATCCTCCTCCTCCTCCTCCTCCTCCTCCTCCTCCTCCTCCTCCTCCTCCTCCTCCTCCCCCTCCTCCTCCTCCTCCTCCTCCTCCCCTCCTTCCTCCACCTCCTCCTCCTCCTCGGAGAAAGTTGGAAGCATGGTCAGATGATGTCCAGAAGAGGGGGGGGCGACTAGGAGGGGGAGGAGAGGATGAGAATGAGTTGGATTCCTCCTGCTCCTCCTCCTCCTCCTCCTCCTCCTCCTCCTCCTGCTCCCCTCCTCCTCCCTCCTCCTCCTCCTCCTCCTCCTCCTCCTCCTTCTCATCATCACATCATCATCCTCCTCCTCCTCCTCCTCCTCCTCTTCTCCTCCTCCTCCTCCTCCTCCTCCTCCTCCTCCACCATCCTCCTCCTCCTCCTCCTCCTCCTCCTCCTCCTCCTCCCCCTCCTCCTCCTCCTCCTCCCTCCTCCTCCTCCTCCTCCTCCTCCTCCTCCTCCTCCTCCTCCTCCCCCCTGCTGCTCGGCTCCCTCCTCCTGCCCCCTCCCCTCTTCCTGCTCCTGCCCCCTCCCCTCGCGCCGGGGGCTCTCCCCCGCCCTCCCCAGAGGCACGAGGGCGACGCTGTGCTGCCGGGCGACGCCAGGGAGGCGAGCAGCAAGGGCGCGAGCCAGGCGCCGGCACCGGCCGCCCGCCTGCGCCCGCAGCCTCGGCAGCTTCCCCCCCCTGCTCCTCCTCCTCCTCCTCCTCCTCCTCCTCCTCCTCCTCCTCCTCCTCCTCCTCCTCCTCCTCCGCCTCCTCCTCCTCCTCCTCCTCCTCCACCAGGGCTCCTCGCAGCTCCTCGCCCTGGTGGCGTTGGTGTGTCGCCCTGCCTTTGTTCCAATCCACCAGTGCGTGCCGCCAGTCTCGGCCACGCCGCCGGGCACCCTCCCCTCAAGGCACGTGGCCGCCCGGAAGGCGCGCTCGATCCGAAGGATCGGATGCCTACTCCGAGCTTCTTAATAAGCGTGGGGGGCGCGTCACCCCCGCCGACAGCCCCACTTCGGCCCCCTTCGCGGGCCGCCGCCGCGCGCCGAAGGCGCTCCGGCCCCCGCCGCGGCGCGACGACGAGGCGAGGTTGACCCCCGTCGGGGGGTACTCCCCCACGCTCATCAAGAAGCCCAGAGCACCCTGTCCAGAAGAAGAGGGGTGGTGAGGAAGTCCTGGAGACCTCGCGCGGCAACTCGAGGCGCAGATTCCGTCGGATCCACGTCGGATGCGCGTCGGCTTCACGTCGGAGCACGTCGGATTTTCACGTCGGACGTACGTCGGAGCATCGCCACGCAAACGTCGACCCAGATCGCACGGAGTGGACGTGCGGACTAGATCGTACAACTATTGCAGCCACGCGAAGCCTCCGGACTCTTTCCTCGCTCGCAGAAAGAAGACTGCGCACATACACCGATCCTGGCCAGGCCCGTCCTGGGCTGGGGATCATTGCACACGCCCTCCCATCAGGGCCGCCAAGTGGGAGGCGTTCAAGAGGGGGCGGGGTGCAAAGCATGGCCGGCGGCGTCGGGGGTCGCGCGGTCGCGAAGTCACAAGGTGGACGACTGTCCGCCGTGCAATTGCGGCTGACGCGCTCGCAATGAGCAAGCATGCCGTTAGAATCCCACCAGCCCTCTGAGCGTCGGTGGTTTAGAGCGTTAGCGTTTCCTCTTCCACCCCTCCTTCCCCTTCGGGGAGGGGTTTACCCCTCCCCCATACCCCCTCCCCGTGGACCTGGAGGGGGGGGGCCGCGAGGTGTCAGAGCGTCCAAAACGGCCTCGGCGAGGAAGCCAAAATCATTGATTTTTTTAGGTTTTGGCCCCATTTTGGCCCCCTGGGGGGGCAAGGCTAATTAATGCTCCGCACTTATTGGATAGATCTCCTCCAAGATGGCCCCAAGAAGCGCCCAGGAGGTCCCAAGAGGTCCCAGGATGGCCCCAAGACGGCCCCAAGAGGCCCCCAAGAGGCCCCCAGGAGGCCCCCAAGACACCCCCAAGAGGCCCCAAGAGACCCCCCAGAGGCACCCAATATGCTCCAAGAGGCCTCGGCGAGAATGCCAAAACGGCCTCGGCGAGGAAGCCAAAATCATTGATTTTACTGGCCCCATGTTGGCCTCCTGGGGGGAGGGACGCTAATTAATGCCCCCCTCTTGTTTGATCGATCTCCTTCACGAGGGCCCCAAGAGGCGCTAAGGAGGCACCAAAAGGTCCCAGGACGGCCCCGATATGGCCCCAAGAGGACCCCAAGAGGCCCCCAGGAGGCCCCCAAGACACCCCCAAGACGCCCCAAGAGACCCCCCAGAGGCACCCAAAATGCTCCAAGAGGCCTCGGCGAGAATGCCAAAACGGCCTCGGCGAGGAAGCCAAAATCATTGGTTTTACTAGGGTTTTGGCCCCATGTTGGCCTCCTGGGGGGGATGGACGCTAATTCATACTCCCCTCTTTTTCGATCGATCTCCTCCAAGATGGCCCCAAGAAGCGCCCAGGAGGCCCCAAGAGGTCCCAAGATGGCCCCAAGATGGCCCCAAGAGGCCCCCAAGAGGCCCCCAGGAGGCCCCCAAGAGACCCCCAAGAGGCCACAAGAGACCCCCCAGAGGCACACAAGATGCTCCAAGAGGCCTCGGCGAGAATGCCAAATCATTGATTGCACGAAGGTTTTAGCCACATGTTGGCCTCTTGGGAGGGAGCACTGATTACGATGACTCCAACAGCGCCTGGGAGAGCCCAAGATGACCTCCAAGATGGCTCAAGATAGCCCAAGATGTCTCATAATGGTTTCCTCTGTGTGCTGCCCACTTCCCTGATCCAGGCAATTCCTCTGGGAATCGTTTCTGGATGGGCTGGTGGGGATTCTTTTTCGGTCGCGGCCGCAAGCGAAGAGGCAGGCGGCGGGCAGGGAATCCGGGCCAACGGGCAAGCCGAATTAGCTACAAGAGGCGCACTAGCCGGCCGGCCCACTCACAAAGCAGCCGCGAAGCTGAGGGGGACTGACGGCGGGGGGCATCCTGGGAAGCTCGAGCACATGCACAGGACAAAATGTCGAGGAATTCGATGCCTGCCATGAGGCACGGCCCACACAGTGACAAGACGTGTACCTGAGCAACCGAGTCCGTCGTTCTGAGTGGGGGCAGGCGCGAGGCCCGTGGAGCGAGTCGCCGGTGGGGCGACAGGCTCCAAACGACCTAGACGACGTGTGCTAGCCAGGGGGGCTGAGCTGTCGCGGAACGTGGTGCAACGCAACCTGCTGATAGCTGATGGTGAGCCTGGGGTGCTGCAGCTGCTGCGGAAGGCTGAACCACTCCGTGGCGAGATCAACACCCGCCAGTCCACCCAACAGTGCAGGGGGGAAGCCGAACGACTGCGAGCCACGCAGTGCGTAGCGGCACGGCGCCAAGCCCAGGGTGAGGGGAGAAAGCCAGCCGGCGTGGTGAGCATCGCCAGCGAGGTAGAGGAATATGGGGGGGTGCTGCACTGGTGGTAGTGCTGCCGCCTGAAGTACGCAAAACTGAACCAGGGACAAGCATATCCTCAAGTATACAGAGCTGGCTGTACCTCCCGGGGCACGTGTGGCGCATGTTCAAGCAAGTGTATAACGTTGCCATTGGGTGAGGCGACCTGGGGGAAGCTGCGCTGAAGCAGACACGAGAGCCGACGGTCGCCATGGCCCGACCCTGCCCGCAGCTTTCGCACTTCCTCGCAAGACTCGGGGTCGTCCACCAACACGCACCACGTTGGCCTCCAGGGTCGCAGCTAACCGCCGCTGAAAGTGGGGAGCATTACCACTGACAGCGAGGGACAAGGGCGGCCCTGGGGAGGGGGGAAACACCACCGGCGTCTGTCGGTACGCCTGGCGAGCCCCGGGGCCAACGGCGGGGGACACCCGCCTGGCCCGAGAGGGGGGAGGCGAGGGGAAGCCACGCCCCGCCCCACGACCGGGCCCCGGACCCGTGGGTCAGGGGACATGGCCATTCTCTTGGGTCCTCCAGACTGGTGGGGATTCGCGAAGCGTCAACAATTTGTCTTCCGGCCTGCAGTGGCAATTGAAATGGGCAGAGTTTGTGAGATGGCCCAACATTGCCAGAGGAGCTGAATCCATGATCGGGTGATGTCTTGGCCTGGTGCCAGGCGTATATAGGAGCACAAACATATATACATATTTATGTCTATATATATGTATGTTTATATGCATGTGTATATTTGTACAAGCTTACACAACTATATAAATATCTATATATATAGATATATATATGTATAGATAGATGTGTGTGCGTGTCCACCACCGTGCCGAGAGGCGCGAAGTGGATTCTTGTCCAGGCTGTCATGTGTCACTTGTCCTCTGTACTCCGGACTCTGGGAATAAGTATTCTAAGGGCTGAGGCCCCCAAGTCTCAACAGTCCTGGGCGTTCCCGTGTTTTCTTGGACTGCCTCGCATGACTTGTCCAAAGCCAGAGGACCCCAAGACGGGCCACGAGGCCCCAGAAAGCGCCAAAGAGGGTCCAAGAGGCCTCCAAGACAGCCCAAGAGCGCTCCAAGACGCCCAAGACGGCCCAAGAGGCCACAAAGAAGCCCCAAGAGCGCTCCAAAAGAACCCCCAAGAGGGCCCAAAGAGACAAAAATCATTGAGTTGCCTTGTGCTGTTCGATGTTAATCGCGTTCCCGCGTTTTCGGGCCTCCAACGCTCCAAGGTGGCCCCAGAAGCCCCCAAGACGGCCCCAAGACGGCCCAAGGGGCCCCAGGAGGGCCCCAAGGCGGTCAAAGAGGACCCCCCACAACGGCCCAAGAGGCGCCCAAGATCGCTCAGGAGGGCCTCAAGACGGCCCCAAGACGGCACAAAGAGGGGCCCAAGAGGGGGAACGCCAGCCAACAATGTGAGTCTTCCGCCCCAAGAGGCCCCCAGGAGTAGGTTGCCCCCATCGCACTTAAGGACCACATCCCAGAAATAATTTCGAGCACCCAGGAAGCTGCCGAAACAGTGCCAAAGCAGTGCCGAAACAGTGCCGAACGAGTGCCTCTCGGGGCCCGACACGCGAAAACCCTCGAGTTGTTCGGTACTGTCTCTTGGCGCTCGAAATCAGTTCTGGTGGTTCAGGCTAAAGCAGGCTGGAACATCATAACCCCAGGAGGCCCCAGGCCCCCAGGAGAGCCTAAGAGGCCCCCGAGAGGCCCAGGACCCCCAAGAGGCCCCCAAAACGGCCCTCAGCAGGCCTCAAAACCGCCTCCAAGAGGCCCCTGGGGAGGCCTCCCACCGTGCCCAAGCGAACATCCAAGAGGCCTCTAACCCACAACCCACGCACGTCAGCGGGATGGGCCGAAGGCCACTAGATATAAGCGCAGCCCCCACCCCCAGCACCTTCTGATCGTATCGTGTTCTATTGACGGTGCTCTCCTCTGCTCTTCATCGCCATTCGTTCCATTCGTCTCATACTCCTCCTCCTCCTTCTCCTTCTCCTCCTCCTCGTCCGATGAGAGAGAGAAGCAGAGAGACAGAGAGAGAGGGGGGAGAGAGAGAGAGAGAGACCACAGGAAGCGGCGATCCCTGTTGAATCACATGTTTTGCGAAGTAAGAGAGCGACAAACCTTGAGATGGCACGGAGATGGTTGGGATTCCTGCTGTGGAAATCCCAGAAACCCTGCACTGAAAATTTGGATGTATGGCATTGTGTTGATGTTACATCCTCCGA